TCGTACGTCGCGTCGAGCGTGCTCCAGCTCGGCGTCAAGGCGCACCTCCTGCTGTACATCGACTAGGCCATCAAGGCCGGCGACATGTGGTGCGAGGGCGAGGGCGAAATCATGCCGGCGGTGGCCGCGGGATGCCTGCTAGTGTCGCAACTCAGGGGCCGAGTTGTAGGCTTGAGTTTTTTTAGGCCCATTCGCCGAAGGGCGGTGTTTCGCGCCGGGGAAGCAGGCATGACCTGCCATGACCACGATTCCGGTCCAGCCGACGCGGCTGCGGTACGGTGACTACGGCGCACGAGAAGGAGGACACGGAGTTGCAGGCGGCGTTGAGCCTATCGCTGTCGGAGGCGTCGTCGGAGAGCACTGCGCCACCGCAATCTTGCGCGGTCGCACCGACGCCGCGCCACCGCAGCTAAGCAAGACGCAAGCAGCGCCGCGCAACCAAGGGGAGGGGCCCCTAGGCAACGCGCGGTCCCGGGGACGCCGCCGGGACGCCGGGACGCGGGATCCGGGACGCGGCGGGACGCGAGCCCGACGCGCCCGGACCGGCCCGGGACGCGCCCGGGACGCAGGACGCGGCCGGGACGCGGCCCGGACGCCGGCCGAGGGACGCGAGGGACGCGGCCCGGACGTCGGCCGAGACGGGGCCGGGACCCACGGGACGCGGGCCGGACGCGGGACGCGGGCCGGACGGCGCCGGGACGCGGCGTCCGGGACGCCGCGGGACCCGGCCGAGACCTCCCCGGGACGCGGCCGAGACGCGGAGACGCGGCCGGGACGCGGGGGACGCGGGATGCAGGACTCGGCCGGGACGCCGACCGAGACGCGGGACGCGGGACCCGGGGTGGGACGGAGCAAAGACGCGCGGGACGCGGCCCGGACGCGGCCCGGACGCGGGTATTGGGACGCGGCCGAGACCGGCCGGAGCCTCGCCGGGACGCCGGCCGGACCCCCCGGGGACGCGGCGCCTCGAGAGCGAGACGCGCGCAGGACGCGAGACGCCGGCACGGCCTTTGAACGATGTCAGGCCCGGACCAC